CCCCCATGGTTGAGATAAGGGGTTGAAACTTGATGTAAGATGTCTTTTTTTGATATGCTATCGACTGTCGTATTGGATATTTCATTTGGCTCAAGTGCATTTTTGATCATCCCCTCCCTCTTTCTTCGAGTCGCGCTCGCTAGGATTAGGAAACTTGGCTCGAGCTCGTATTTCTAAAATTTGCTTGACGTCTAAAAATAGATTGATAGATATGGCAACAGCGTAACAATCCGGCAACGATGCCTTCGCGTCCTTTGTCTGTCAAAAGTTGGTTGGTAATAGGAATAGGAATAGGTGGCTAATAGAGTTTAGATATATTTGTAGATCTAGTCGATAGATGACGCAACGCGAGTTGCCTAGTTTATAGATTGTTTATTTATAGTATTCTCCGCTCATAGACATCGTCGCTTCGATCGATTCGGAGATAAGCCAAAACGGGATCCTGCCCTTAAAGCCAGTGCGGTGTGGCTAACAAAATTTAAAAGACATGGAATAAGATTAGCGCACGTTTATGGTGAGCAAGCTAGTGTCGATAAAAGTGCAGCGGAACAATTTGTAAACGATTGTAGAAAGCTCGTAGATGAGGGAAATATTGATTTGAATAATATACATATATAATATGGACGAAAGTGGACTCCTTTGGAAAGCGCTGCTAGAGAAAACTCTCGTGAATAACAGTGAAGTGCGCGTGAGTGGGCAAAAACTTAAAAAAGAGAGAGTAACTGTGGGTGTTCGGAATCGTTCGAACGCGCTAGAACGCACCGCGATTAGATAGCGTCAGCGCACTCAGTCGAGAAAAATGCCAACTAATTAGCGTTCAGGCATGCGCCTTACCTACGGAAATTTTTCGAGATTTTTGTCGCAACCGATTTTTGTATACAGTCGTTGACGAATCGTTAACCGCATAACCGAACCAAACCATTATTTATTTACCAATCTTTATTATCTTCGTATCGTTACGTTCGTTCTGTTCTTTACGTGTTTATTAAATAAACTGACAATCAATTGAGCTACAAGTAGTGTCCAAAGTCGTTTTTTATTGGAAGTTTCACCGGATTGCCCTCGAAAATCCAATCTTAAAAAAGTTGATCAGCTCCTGCTCAACCCCATCATCCAACAGTGGGATTTTGTGCAAATGTGACGGGGACGCACAAAATGATGCCAATTTTTATCAATAAATATAAAAAACCACGCGCGTTACGAAACATTACTAATAACTTGCCCGTAATATTTAAAGCTCAATCAAATGTGTGGATGGACCAAGAATTATTCGTTGATTGGTTTGACAATCATTTTAAAAAATTGGTGCAATCATTTCATTTACAGAACGAATTATCGGGAAAAGTAATACTTTTAACTGGCAATTGTTCGAGCCATAAATTTCCAGCAAATTACACGCATGAAGATAAATTCCAAATTATATATTTACCTCCAAATACTACAGCCTTGATTCAATCCATGGATCAAGGAATAATAGCAAAAACGAAAAGATGTTTCAGGCACAAATTAATGCAATACGTATTCCGAAACGAAAATGGAGTTAAAGATTTTTACACGAAATATACAATTAAGGATTGCATTGACATAATTAATACAGCGTGGAACGAAGTGACGCAGAATAATATCAGAAATGCGTGGAATAAGATTATTCCTCAGTCTCAAATGGAAACAGAAGCAGCTGTAGAAGAAGAAGAGGAAGAAAAAATGATTTTACAAATGCAACATACATGCACACAATTTTCTGAACAAAATATAACTATACATGATATTTCAGATTACCTATCCATATGTACGGCCGAAGAAAGCAGATATCCAAAGGAGGCTGACGGAGCTGACCAAGGAACGAGCCAGGACAAAGATGAAATAACGGAGATGATTGAGGAAAAGGGCGAAGAGAGGAAAAGAGTGGAGGATGCATTCTCCTGTTTAGATGAATTTAAAAATCGTTATTCCCTTCCAACACAGTTTATTATAACAGGATTAAAACTAGAAATTTTAGGTAAGACCATTTTTAATATACGTAATTAAATATTGAGGAATGCGTCATTTTATTCTAAGCATAATTAAAATAAATTTTTTGTTTAGGTAATATTTAACAATGAATACATGATGCATACTTATTGAAGAAAAGACGAAACAAATTAAAGTTAATGGTATTACTTTTATATTACTTTTATATTTTATAATATATTTACATTATGTTTATGTTTATAATAATTAATGGTCTATATTATTAAATCAAAAATATCCCTTAAATATATTTATTTTTACTTTGTTTGCAACCTTGAAGTTCTTCCCCTAAATTTAGATAATTAAATTTATAAATTACTTAATATTTGAAGCAGTTACATAATTGGTTTCAATCGTGTTTTGCTTATAAATGAGAACTTTACTCCGATAAGTTATTATGTAGAAATAAATGTGTCCCGAATTACGCCGTGTTTGGTCTCATTTTAATCAACAAAATGTCACGAATATGATGCAACAAGTTGCATAAAAAATAGATTAAAAATAAAAAAGTTAGCGATGCATACGCATTGCAAACAATTGAACAGACTATTGATCTTTGGCGACTGCCACGACCGCAGTGTCTCTTTCTTCTTCACTCGCTATCCTTCTCTGCGTTAGAAACTTTTATCGTCAATTAAACCAGTAAATATAGTCCAAATTATATCGTGTTTGGTCTCATTTTATGAACAGACTATTGATCTTTGGCGACTGCCACGACCGCAGTGTCTCTTTCTTCTTCACTCGCTATCCTTCTCTGCGTTAGAAACTTTTATCGTCAATTAAACCAGTAAATATAGTCCAAATTATATCGTGTTTGGTCTCATTTTAATCGGAAAAATATCAAGAATTAATTGGTAAAAGTTTGATAACGAAAAAGTCAAATATAAAAAAGTTTTATAGTTGCATTGATATTATCTCATGGATCATATGTATACAGTATTCACTCCGTAAATGTTACTTTTGCCGGTCTCGATTGTAACATTTACGGTAGAGGTCCTACATTTTTTGTAGTGTGCCGAACGTAGAAAGAGACAGCGATACAAAAGACAAAGAGGGATAGAATTTTGAGCGTTCGGCAAACATGAAAGGCTCGTGCGTGTTCTGTCTTTTAAATTTAAAAATTAAAATTCTTTATTTTTGGTTTTTCGTCAATGGAACTTTTACCATCGTATTTGTCTCATTAACCGACTTCGAAAAAGGAGGAGGTTACTCAATTCGATCAGTATTTTTTTTTTTTTTTTTTTTTTTTTTTTTTTTTTTTT